TACTGATTGAAAAAAACTTTTAAAGGCATGTAGCTTATTATATGAAATTATGTGAAGAAAATGGCATTTTTATTTTTCATTTTTGCTTTTTAAAATTAAATCTCAAACCTAAGATGCAGATTATCATCAAGCTAAATCTTAACAGGGAAAAACCTAAGAGATCCTGTCAACATTGGACCTAGTTAACTTTCCCTAAATGGTATTCAGGGAATTAGATCCCTTTGTTTTAATGGACCCATTATCTACTCATCCTCATTTTTGTTTTGTTTTGTTTTTGGGTTCGGTCGTGGGGCCTGAACTCTGGGCCTGGGCGCTGTCCCTCAGCTCTTCAGCTCAAGGCTAGCACTCTACCATTTGAGCCACAGAGCCACTTCCGGCTTTTTGCTTATGTGGTGCTGAGGAATCGAACCCAGGGCCTCAGGCATGCAAGGCAAACACTCTACCACTGAGCCACCTTCCCAGCCCCTCATCCTCATTTTTGTAAACATGTAAGAATATATAAGGATATCTTTCTGAAAAATCAGCAAATCTAATGATAATGACAGACAGTAACCTCCACAGTAGACAGATCTTTATTGTCTACACTCCTCAATCGCCAGCCTCTAGAGAAGTATATACTAGATACTTCAAAATCATTTCTAGCTGTCACATTCTGTGAATCCATTTTTTTAAAAATTTTTTAAATTTATTGTAAAGGTAATGTACCACCACTTCCAACACAGTTTTTCTTTTTCTTTTTTTTTTTGGGGGGGGTCCGGTCGTGGGGCCTGAACTCTAGGCCTGGGCGCTGTCCCTCAGCTCTTCAGCTCAAGGCTAGCACTCTACCACTTGAGCCACAGCGCTAGTTCCGGCTTTTTTTTTCTTTTTGCTTATGTGGTGCTGAGGAATCGAACCCAGGGCCTCAGGCATGCAAGGTAAGTGCTCTACCACTAAGCCACCTTCCCAGCCCCTCAACACAGTTTTTCTTGAGCCATTCATTCATTGAAGGACATCTAGGCTGTTTCCATACCTTGGCTATGCTGAATAGTGCAGACATCTGAAAGGTCTTCTTAACCCATGGAAAGCAAACACTACTGTGTTATTAAAAATAGTTATTAAAATATGTTACAAACTCAGATGGAATTATTTTACTAAGCTCCTACTAGGCAGAATTCTGGAACCCAAGGACAGTACCTATGTCCCTAAGCAACTCATAGTGTTCTAGAAAAGAGCCGTCAAGAGTGCTATGCAGAGTTAAAATAATAATATAATTCCCCCACTGTGTTCTGCTTTGATGGCTGGATCCTCCACACTAGCCTGGGCAAGATGGCAGCAGAGGGGAGTAGAATGGTTCCAGTGGTGAGTCTCTGACCATTAAATTCGTCCCTAATAATTGAACTGGCAGGGATGCTTTTCTGTCCCAAAGGGGAAGCTGGTTGGTACCATGAAGGTCTGCTGGGGGCAGGTGGGGTGGCACTGTAACTATGGGATCTATGGAGCTAGAAGAGGAGCACTATGCCAGGTCATAGGTCATCCTATAAAAGCTTACCAGAGTATTTGGGCCACTATGAGCTGGGATATAGAGAATAGAAGGCCTTGGTCCTTGATTGACACTGGGACAAGACTCTTGTCAATGTTAGCTGTCACAGCAGGTGCAGACTTCTGCTATGATATTGCGGTTTTCAAGCCTATGGCTAATGCTGCTGTGAAGCTTGCAGAGAAAAATGGCCTCAGTGATAAGATTAAGGTTATCAACAAACACTCCACTGAGGCGACTCTTGGGCCAGATGGTGACATGCCATGCCGTGCCAACATCCTGATCACAGAGCTGTTTGACACTGAACTGACTGGGGCTCAGGAGCACCTCCATCCTTTGATCACACACACAGACATCTTGTCCAGGAGAACTGTGGAGCAGTGCCTCACAGAGTAACTGTCTATGCCCAGATGGTGGTGTACAGAAGGACGTAACCGTGGAACAAGCTGTTTCCTGTCCATATTCAGTATAGACTCAGGGACCAGGTCACCATCCCCTCTCCTGAGAACTGGAGAGGTGTACTGGTGCACCCTTTGTCTAGCCGACATTCAACTGAACCAAGTGTCATCCTCTGATTTCAATCTCCCCAGTGATGTGCTGCCTATGTTCAGTGTGGGCTTCAGCAAGCAAGCAAGTCAGTTGCTCGGCAGCACAGACCTCTGGCATCTGGCAGAGCTCAAGTGGTTCTCTCCTGGTAAGACACTGAAATGGACCCTGAGGTGAAGATCAAGTGCACCATGTCCCTCATAGCCAGATCTGGAGGAACCTCTAGATGCAGTGTATTTCCTGCCACAAGAGGAACCCATTGTACAGGCTTGGTCACCCACCATAATGACTACTGTACATGATACAGCCCCAAAAAGAATGGGAAAGTACAGGCTCAGCTGCTCTGGAACCTTCCTGGGTTTGGAGAAATTAGTTATCAGGCTTTGAGGACTGGTCTGATCCCAGACAAGAGTCTGCCTCTGTGTCCATAATGCAAGTCTACTCTGTATTTCTAGCCCATCACTTTGGGACAAAGCAGGTATTTACATTGAAGGTTCAGCAGTTCCCTATAAACTGATTTTTAAGAAGATCTTTAAGGATCATCATTTGGAAGATAAGGTTAGTATCACTGAGAAATGTCCTGAGTTAGTAACTTCTGCAGACTGAGAGGGTAAGAAAGTCTCCCTCCTACTGAGTGAACCCTTCTTTGCTACCAACCTACTGCCATGGCACATTTTGTACTACTGGTATGTCCACACTACTGTGAACCAGCACCTGAGGCCTGGGCTATGATGATGTCTCAGCCTGCCTCACTGCACGCCATGATTGTGGAGTTCAAGGACCTGTAGTAAATCCAGAGCCCCTGTGGTGGCTGTGAAAGTTTTATTGTGTACATCATGGATGACATGATTAAGCACACCCTGGATTTCTGGGCAAGCAAGGACACAGAACCCCACCCACAGAGGGAATACCCCTGTTACAACCTCTCTGTACCCCATCAGATCTATCTTTTGATTTTCAAAAGCCTATCCCCCAGCAGTGTGTGACTACTGAGGGTTCCATAGAGCTGAGAAAGTCTGGTAAGAACTCTAGGGCAATTCTGTGGATAGAATATCACCTGAAACTAGACGCACAGTCAGCACTGGCCTGATGGAGCTTGTAGAAGACAAGGGAGACTCTTGCTGGAACCCTCATTGCAAGCAAGCCATGTACTTCCTTAGAACCACACTGGATCCTGGAATGCCGCTCGATGGCCCGCAGACAGTCAGCTATGCTGTGGAGAAGTCAGCATGGAGTTCAGGCTCACTTACATCCTGGTCTGACACCTCAAACCCCTATTTGAAAAATAAAGGCTTTGGGCTCTGAAAAAAAGCAACGACATAGAAATCATCCTAACTTATAGGTAGCTATAAAGATGGGCCAAGCCGCATTTCCTAGGAGTAGGAAGACTATGTAGGGCAGAATTCAGTAAAGCTAAGACTGAATGGATAATAAAGAAGAGGCTTACAGACTGAATGAAAGGAAATGAGGAGAGAGTGTATAAAAAATGGAGACCACTTGGGAGCATGAAAAAAAAGCACCCTATAATCCCATCACATTTTTTTTCCTGAGTGACCAAAATATCTCCCAGCTGGTCTCAGTTCTCCTCTTTGCCAAATCCATTCAAACAGTGGTTATAAATCAATCCTCCAGAAACATAATTTTATCACCCTGCCATCCTCAAGAATCTACATTGTCAACTGAAATTGTCACACTATATCCAAATGGCAGCCTCATTTACTTATCGTTACTAGGACTCTCCTAAATGCAGGTCTATTCCCTTGATACCAGGAAGCTCAATGCTCTCTTAAACTCATTTATATTATTCCCCAGCCAAATTTGGTTCATTCTTAGGATCTAGCTCATGTGCTATCTTTCTTGTTCTTTCCTTAACTGTTCCAGCTGCCAAAATTGCTGGGCAACTGGCATAACTGATTTGGAATTTAATATACCTCATATGTGAATATTAGCCTCATTTAATCCAGATCTCATCTAAGTGAGCTGTATCTTCCTTAACTCTGAAAGGATATGTAGAACAATATATAATTCCTCTCAAACTGAGTGTCCCATGTCTTCTTAACTTTATCCTTCTTTACTAACATACTTCAATCCCCTTTCTTTCCCCTTCTTGTATTCTGTACAGCACATACAAAGCTTGAAAATTCAAGAGCATCCTTGCTGCAGTTTTCACTTGTCCACTATGAAAGTCGTGTTGAAATTTTATTCCCAATTACTGTAAGAGTGTTGAGAAATGGTGGAACCTTAAAAAGGTGATTGGGTCATTAAGAGGGTTTAATACCTTTCTTGAGGGGGTGAGTTTTCACCCCCTCAAGAAAGAAGCTCAAAACTTCCTTAGTTAACAATGAGGGCAGACTGTTATAAAGCAATGCCACCTTTCCAGTTTCTTTTTTTCAGTATATACCCTCTGACCCTTTCATATCCATCCTACTATAACACTATACAGCTGTTTTATATATATGTATATAATACGCATAATATATATGTAATATATAATATATTATCTATAATAATATATGTTATACATAACATATATAATATAGTATATGTAATACATAATATATGCTATCTATAATAATATATGTCGTATATAATATATATTATATAATATATATAATATATTCTATATACTAAAACATATACATATACAGCTGTTATGAAACTTTCCGGCCTCCAGAAACATAAGCCAAATTAGACACATTCTTTATGAATTTGCTAGTCCTGAGTATTTTTTTAGCGACGGAAAACAAACCAAGACAACTCTTTCCTCTTGGGTCTTAACTTCCATATTCAATTTGTCACTCTTGTGCAACGACGGACCTCCATGTCCCCAGGGGGCGCTGCAACGGCGAGGCTTCTGGATTCCAACGGCGCACGCGCCCGGAAGCATTTCTGCCCCGCCCCGCCGGCCGGAAGGATCCGGAGATGTATTTCCGGCTGGCCTAATTGCGCACGTGTGTTCGGCTGCGGGCGCGGAGCCGCGGTGCGGAGGCGCCGCTGGGGCGTCTTTCTGGCAGCATGTCGTACCTACAGATGAAACTTCTGCGCAAGAAGATCGAGAAGAGGAATCGCAAGTTGCGACAGCGAAACATAAAGCTGCAGGAAAAGCTGCAAGGTGAGCGGAGCGGAGGCGGCCCCACG